TCCCAATTTTTTGAGATTATTTACTTGTTTTTGGTCAAATTGATCAGGTGCTTTTTATTCGATTCAACTTGTGATATTCATCAAAGATGAACTTAAGGGTGAGCAACAATACTTCGATGCTGATCTCGGGACAAAAATTTAGTAGAATAACAATATGTACCGGAAAAACCGTTAAGTATTTAGAATTTTATGATAAAAGCAAAACAATATATCGATATTCCTGGACAATGGATAAAAAGATGGCCTGTATTACCGACTGAGAAGAATTATTTTAACTGCAGTACAGAGTGTGGAGATGAATTCTTTATGTTTTAAATGATGTAAAATGATTTTTGCTTGGGACTTTAATTAAAAAATTTTAACAAATGATGGATTTTGGTTCACTAATACGGCTGAGCATAGAAGGGATTACTACTTTTTATTTTTTTATAGGATTTCCATCGTTAGAAACTTACAAAATTTTTTCATCTTGCATATTCTCTGAAGAAAAATGTCTCTTAACGATCCAAACATCCTGTTATCTTCCCATTCATGACCTAAAACCATGAGAAAGAAGAAAACACTTTAATTATATTGTAATTTTTTTAGATTTATTCTTGACATTAATTGTTTGCTACGTCAAAAACTCACCGTCGAAGGACATACTATCTGCGAATTCTCCCATTAGGATTAGTAGATTATTAGTTGTCAATCACTAACAGCTTTGGCAGAATGCTCCCCTTTCATCAAAAGAGTAACAGCCATGCTCATAAGATTTCGGGACTAGATCCAATCTCTTTAGCTTTCTTCTGAATTAACAGATGAACTGAAAAATTAAATAATTTTTTTCTATACACGAACTCTTAGGGGATTTATTCATAAATTGGAAAGTCCTCTACCGACAAACTCTAGGAATAACAATATGGATAGGAGGCAATATGAAAATACGTGACGAATCTGATCACCGAAGAAAAATTCTGGGTAGCCAAACAAATGATGGACAATGGACGAAACGTTATCAATAATATTGGAATACTCATAACTCCATATCAACAAGATGGGCCCTTCTCATATGCCCTCCTCTATTCCTCTATTCTATTTCTTTTAATTGGATTGGTCGGTGAGAATTTCCATTAATAGAAAGAGAATAACTCTACAATTTTTTTCGTTCTGGATTTAAGAACTCAAATGTCCTCAAAATGATGAAAAAGTGAGGCAGGATTCAAGTGAAATAATATCAGGGGAAAATTAGTAATTGAAACTTTGTTTCCGACGAGATTTCTTAAAATTTCTCGAAATTCGTTTCATTTCCAAGTTTTTTGCTGACTAGATTTCAATACGACAGAGTTATAATATTGAGACATTATTACTGGTGACGAGAAAGGTC